TTAGCACTAAAAACACAGGAAAAACCAAATACCGACGTTCAAAACCAAATTTTAGCATTAGCATATACTTATATGGCTGGAGATAGTGATGAAAAACAAATGAGTAAGGGATGATTCAAATAGAAAAGGCAAAGGTAATAAAGGAGTCAAAGCAAGAGATACTCCCGCATTTAAAAGTCAGAACAAGAAACAGATTGGGGCATTTCATTACCATTGAGTTATAACAGAAGATAGAAAAGGTTGAAAATCAATAAGGTAGTTGTAATACAGGTAAATATAATCAATCAGAATAACTTACAAAAATACCAGCAGGAGGATCGCGGTACCCAGTCAAAAGAGCAAAAACGTAATTTTGACCATCATGACGAGCCTAAAGACGCGAAGCCAAATATTAGCCAAGAAAGGCAGAAACAAGCTCCAACGAAAGCAAATGGATAGAAAGATTGGAAATACTTTGGTTATCAGACTTAAATCCGGAGGATAGGCACCCCCATTTGCAAACCTAGCAGCCTGCCTGTTCATTTGCATATGGCTGAGGAAAACGGTCACTCAGTTTCCCCGGGCGGGTAAGCATTTCTCCCTCATCATTCGGCCCATCAACGACCTCGATCTCAGCGGCCATTGCCTTGGTTAATTTCCTCCTCATTGTAAGCGACACCTACCAAGTCACGGTATGAAATTCAGGACATGGAGTGGCAGGACGCACATACTTGTTGATACACCTGGTGACCACGACGAATCCTGTTTGATGAACACACACAAGAAAAGAAGTGTATAAAAAACCGTGTGAAGGATTCTACATCATCGTATTGAGTCGAGTTAAGGACCTAGCTCAAATGTCTGTCCAACGTGGAAAAGAGACTAGATTTCAAGAATTGTAATGACAACGGAAGGTATAAAAGAAGAAGAAAAAAGAAGCAAAATTTCATAAGTAATTATTATTATCCATTGTAGTTTAGGGGGAGATATAATGGACTTAATTAACTCAGATGCATAATGTTTTAGGTGAATGAGAAGCATCAATCAACCAAGAAATTATTATATTACTAATAAATAAAGAAGGAACAACGAGTACAAATTTACAACAAAGATTGAGCATAGTTCAAATTCCACTGGTCATACGCCACTACATGGAGCATTAAATTTATTAGAGAGGCAATAAAACAAGTTTGAAACTAGCCTTAAAGATATTTAACTAATGTTATTTCATGGAGAAAAATAAAAAATTAATCTATGTTACCCGGACTCTTCTATTTAGGAAGAATACCCATGTCATGTTGTGTCGACACTGGTGTGGGTATGAGTGTTAGGTGTGGCATTTTAACCTAAAATGTTCAAGATTTCTAAACTATTGACGAGTCGGGACGCTCATATCTCCACACCCGATACGCCACCCATATCCGAGTCCAGGTAGCATAGAAAATAATCAATAGATAACACTAATATAGAGGTGATTATAAGGAAAGGACATATGTCATTACTTCAAGGTAAACCGATAAAGTTTGAACTAACATGTTATTAGTGACTGAGTACACATCCGAAGAAGATAAGCTAAAAATATAAGTGTATTGAGAAAAAGCTTGATAAGCTAAAGACATAGATACTCACGAAGCGTGGTCATATGAACTTAGAATGCCTTTGTGAGGCCAAGGGTAGTCAGGGACACCCAAACCATGTTCAGCCTCGTCACAAGATGCCACTGTCCCAAAACTAAGAATCAATATAAATATTTTTTCATGGTTCTTTCTAAGTGATACGTAGCATAATCACTCAAGCTCCGATAAAGGCAACGATGTGAATGAATGCCTGTCTTTCAACAGGAATAAATACAAGT